CACACACACACACACACACACGCGCACACACACACACACACACAGTGAGTTCAGAGGCACAGGAGCTCAGACAGCAGCAGTGAACAGCAGCGCAGGATCTTACCGAGCTGTGAGACCAGTACGAATAATCAAAGCTGAAGTTCTTGGCTGCTTCTTTGGGCTGTTTTGGGTTCCAGATGCCTGTGAGACGACAAACACAACAGAGTGAGACGTTCAGAAGATGTGCAGCTCACGCTCCTTTCTAAGACATCGCAGACTGTGATATTTCCAATAAAAAGTGCAGTTGTGGATTAAAATGCATTTTAAAAAGCCTCAGGTTTGCTGTGCTTGTACGGTTGCTCAATTTGGCAAAAAATATTTAACTATAAAATATAATCATTATTTAAATCATATTATTAGTATAATTCTATTATTGCAATTATTATTCTATTATTATAATAATACATATATTATTATTGCTATTATGATTGGTAATATTAAACAAAATACAAACTACCTCTATAGTAATCTTTCACTGTAAAATACAAATTGAGTATTTAAGAAAATGTAATAAAAAGAAATGTTGATAATAACTGTACTGTAAAGACTCACAGGTGGAGCTTCCCTGCATCTGAATGACACATTTAGCATCTCGGCTGGTTTCGCGGGAGTTAAAGGGCCGAACTCTCACTGCTACCTTCACTGAGGCGGCCATCCTGAAACACAAAACAACAGCCAATCAGGATCAGTCCCTCCGGACCAATCAGAGCTCAACGTTCCTCTGTCAATCACACCAGACTCCCAGAAACCCTGAAGCGACGGCTGTTGAGAACAGAAGACTAGTGAGAAGTCTCTTCCGCGGAGCAAGGCTGCGTTTATTTGATACAGTAGAAACAGTGAAATATTATTAGAATGTAAAACAGCTGTTTTCTATGTGAATCTCTGTTAAACTGTAATGTATTTCTGTGATGCGCAGCTGTATTTTCAGCATCATTCCTCCAGTCTTCAGTGTCACATAATCTTCAGAAATCAGTATAATATGCTGATTATTAGAAACAGTTCTGATTATTATCAATGTTGAAAACAATATTTTTGTGCAAATCGAGATGCATTTTATTTTTCAGGATTCACAGATGAACAGAAAGTTCAAAAGAACAGCATTTATTTGAAATAGAAATCTACTGTAACATTATATATAACATTGATAACAATGCTTTAATTCAGTTTTGAATAAAAAATGTATGACCTTTTGTCAGTGAACAAATGAAAGAGACGATCATCACACTGGACGTAAAAGGACAAGTCGAGCGCATTGCATTGTGGGACAGAGTGTCTAACACAGTGTGGCAGATTTTGACAAATGTCTGTTATACATGTATACAAATCCACAGAAACACACGAGACTCATAAACTCTCTCATTCCTCCGCTGTGTCGTTTCAGTCTCTATTGTTCTGTGTGTGTTCACTTTAACACATCCCAGCTGTGTCTGTGTGTGTGTGTGTGTGTTGTCATGCCAACAGCTCTGTTTTTAACTCTTGTAAATGTCAGTCACACACTCAATAACTATCTCTGCATCTCTTCTTCATCTATTAATACAGGGATTCACAAGCTTGATGAAAATGCAGTTCATGCATATTTAATGCCGAGACTGTGAATTTAACACACACACACACTCAGTCAGTCAGAGGGTGTTTAAAGGGCAGAGAGGAATGTCATGTGTGTAGTTGCTCCAGCTGTCACAATGAACACACACACAGACACACAGACACACACACACACACACTCTCACACACACTCACTCACACATACACACTCAAGTGGAGCCTCGTGCCAGCCAGGAGAGGAAGCCATTAAAGTTTAATGAGAGCTGAGAGATACAGAAACCCGCAAGGGTGTGCCACACACTCACACACACACACACACACACACACACACACTCTCTTCCACACACACACACACACACACACACACACACATACTTACACTCTTACACACACACACACACAAACACACGCATACTCACACTCATTCATTCACTCACGCGCACACACACACACACACACACATACTCACACACACTCACACATACTCACACTCTCTTACACACACACACACACACACACACACACACACATACTTACACTCT